ATATATATAATTATATATATATATATATATATATATATTATATATATATATATATATATATGTATGTATGTATGTATGTATATATATATATATATATATATATATATATATATATATATATATATACAGTTGTTTTCTAAAATATATTATGCAGTTGTTTTCTAAAATATATTGTCTTATTTTGATGTATGAAGTTTTTTTTTTAATTACCATTTTGTGTACGTAAAATTTTCTTCAGTCCCCCATTGATATTTTTTTTTTTTTTTTTTTTTTGTTTACGCTATTAGAAAACTGATGTGCGAGCAACAGGGTTCTCGTCCTGCGCGCAGCCACTTGCTCGCACATCAGTTTTCTAATAGCGTAAACAAAGAAAACAAATAGATATCATTTCTTCGGGAATTAGATTAAGGTCTATTGCTCTCCATTCATTATCCAGATGTTGTGGATTAGTAGAGATCCTCGGAAAAGCAGTGACAAGGTCTCTCAGAGATGGCATTGACACTAGATCCTTCATCCAGAAAGTTTTAGGGGACAAAAATGTGGCACATTTGAATTTGCTTGTTTGCAAAAGGGAACCTTTTTTCATTTCTTAGCGAGCAATGATGAAAAATTGTTTGCAGGTGCTAAATACATTCTCTGGCAAATCTTGGTTGTGTCTGTATTCCTCTGATTGTATGAGGCAGTGCATTTCTGATCCAAGGTACATCTGGTAAAATGGAAGATGATTTGAATCGTTCTCAATATCAATGGATGTTCTATCGTGTGCCTTATTTATTTCATTTCTCTTTATAAGGCATCACAACAAATCTGTGTAGAGTTCATGGCACTTTTTGTGTAGGACTTGGATGGTTGGTCCTTGCTGTTGGAAGAGTAGGTTGAGCTGGTTGAATTTAGGCAAAATTAAATTAAGAAAAGTATAATAGAGTTTTGTAGATGGTTCGTTCATTGTGTCCAATATGCTTATTGTTGCATAGTCTTTCCTCTGCCCTGATATTAAAGAAATACGGTTTGAGAGGCTCCCACTGTTCCAGCAACATTTTTACAGCCACATGGTATGATAACCACCTTGTCTGGTACACATGTAATAATTTGTGAGGTTTTACATCACAAAAATCTTGAAATTCTTTGAATATATGAATTCTTTTGGCGCTATGGGAGAAATGGTTGTGTATATTCCTTACTAGATGTTCACATTTGCGAGGAAGACATTTGGCGGCTTGGGAGGAGCACAAGTGTACAGAATGACAAATACATTTGAGTACGGTAATTCCACTACATTTGATATTAGTACTTACAGTTGGTGTCGATCTCTAGAACTCAAAGAGGAGCATGTTTCCATAGCTAAGTCTCAATAGCTTCTTGAAAATACAAACGTGGTGTGAAAATAGGCACATATTTTTCATCAAATTATTTGTAGAATAATTGATTCAAACCATAGGAAATCTTTATTTATTGTGCAAATATCAACAACGCCATTTACTATGAAAAAAACGTAAAATACATTTTTGCGAACATTTTGCACCCATGAGTGCGTGCTGCGGTCCGCAAATCTGCGGGTGTTACTTCCCGCGCTTCAAATGTTCGCATAGCAGACGAAAATTGTATGCATCGGTAACACTGGCGAGCAAGTGGCTGCGCGCAGGACGAGAACCCTGACAGCTGGTCAGACATCAAAACCCCTAGCAGGGGGCAGGACTCTTCGGGGAAGCTACCGCGTGGCTTCGTGGTAGAAGCGGCAGACATGTGGCGTGGTCCAGACCCGCCCTCAACCACGTGGCGCATGAGGATGATGTCAGTTTGAGCTTCGAGTCGGCGAGTGCGCAGCCATATACTAGTCGTTGTTGTTGTTTTTGTTATAACCATTATCATCATTAATATTAGATTTATAATTATCATTATCGTTATTTCTATCACCGTCATCATTATTGTAACATCATCACAATCATCATTATTATCATGATCATCATTACCAGTGTTGCTAGCACTATTGTTATTTTAATTATTATCGCTATTATCCTTATCAATATTATTATTGATATAATTATTGTTGTTGTTGGTGGTGTTGTTGTTATTGTTGTTGTTTTATTATTATCATTATTATTATTATTATTATTATTATTATTATCATCATCATCATCATCAGCAGCAGCAGCAGCAGCATTATCATCATCATCATCATCATCATCATCATCATCATCATCATCATCATCATCATCATCATCATCATCATCATCATTGCTATTACTATATTATCATTATTATTATCATCCTTATTATTATTATTGTTTTTATCATTATTGCTATTACCACTACTGCTACTACTATTATTATTATCATTTTATTATTATTATTATTATCATTATCATTATTATTATAATCATCATCATTATTGTTTTTATTATTATCATTTTTATTATTGTTATTATCATATCTATCACTACTGCTACTACTATTATCATAACAATTATTATATTATATCATATCATTATTATTAATTATT